GAGTGAAGAATGAGTGAAAAAAAAATTAAAACTATGAGCCAGAGACACAAAATAAACATTTTGGTATATATGCCATTGATCAAACCAGACGACCACGGAATGTGACGTAAATTTGTGTTCATGATAGTAACCAATACACTTTTCTTCCAAACTGTTTTATTTTTAAGCACTTAAGCACGTCACCAATAAATTTCGACGTCACAACCTTCATGACAACATTTATGATTTGCTTTACGTCATACGGATATGACATCATAATTTGTTCAAAACGACATAGTATACTAGAATGGGTTATTTTTTAAGTCTCTATATTTATTTTTTGGGAAAATATGCGTGAATAAATATTGTTTTTGATAGAGATGTCATACCCGATTCATTAACATGAACTATGGGGGGGCTATATAGATATATATTATGATTGAACAGTAGAGGGCGCTTTCTCTCCATTCACAGTCATAAGCACATGGTGTTTCGAACACAATTGTATTGTAGCAAATGTTATATAGAGACATGGATACTGATAAAATATAGAGGACAGCAAACAACCAAATTGACAAATACACTTTGCACATGTCAAGTTTTATAATCAGAGTCGCTTATTTGTCGTAAACAAATTGTTAGTTATATAAGTAGAAGATAAGTTATATTTGTTTTTGTTTGAAATTTCAAAGCATAAATCACCTAGAAAAACTGTAGGAAACATTTCTCGATATATATGTTCACATAAACGTAGTTTAAATGTATATCATGCATGAAAGAATTTGGTAAATGGTGTTTGGAGTATGCGATCATTGTACAATTTTTTTCGAGAAATCTTCCACAGGGCGAACTATCGAATTAGTCAAAGTATACTCTGCGGTATAAATCCTTCAGATAAAAAGCGACACAATGAGTTCCACCTCGGCTACTGTCATCTGTGTTTTGTATGACGCTGTGGGATACTCCAACTGTCTTGCTTTAGGTAGTTTGTTTTAGCGCAAAGGCCGCACAATACAGTTTCCTATGTATGGATTAGTAAATAGAATATGATCCAGTTGACTCGTGTCCATCCTCACTAGAAATTGGTCAACACGATTCTGTCTCGTTGTCACTATTCCGTATCAATCACAGTCTCTGTCACAGTCTCCGTGTGCAAAACATCGGGTCAACGCCCTTTCTCGAGTATTTTCATAATTGCTTCGACCACAGTCGCCCGTTCTGCTTTTTTCATATGTACGAAGAAAGCATAATTCGAAAAAAAAAACGTCAATGCACATCAACCAGAACTTGTACCCTATCAGTGGCGGCGGCACCGGGGGGTCGCCCATCTGAAAACAATGTTTGGAGGGTGACCCTTTGTGTCAGCAAAATTTGCCCCTTAAAATGAAGAAAATGGGGGGGTTCTTAATATAAGATCTCGCACCCTCATGCAAAATGTCATGCCGCCGCCTCTGCCTATGTTCTATCTGGGTATCCCGCTGCTCGTCCACTTTGAAAACCACCACACTTCTTTTAACGGAACATCTAGCAGTTTTGCAGGTTATACGTATCTTGTTAACTGCCTCACATCACACTTTTTCCTCTCCGTGTTTCTTTTACGGCAGCATAAATGGCATTTGGATTCCATTTAGCTTCCCGGGCATCATAAAACAGTTATTCAAAGATAATGTCCATCTTCTTTGCCATTATTAACGGCCATGGTTATTTTTGCAGATGCAAAAATAGTTAGTACTGTCATAGGGGGACTGTCGTCGTGTCTCTATACACGTCTGCTTGAGGTACAGGATCGGGAAAGTCACTTAAACTTTACAGTCAAATAGACACAACGAAATTTTAACTCTTGTCTTGAGTCGGCCAGTCGAGTACTCTATAAGACACAACGCCCTGGGAAAAAGTCCTCAAGACTCTCTCTCTCCACGTGACCGTCTTGTCGAGCACCTTCACCAGACTGACTCAAACTTCGTTCATTACTTATCAAAACCTAACCAATTACAAGGAAGTATAAAGATTATAAGGCGTAACCTTCAATCATACAGCCAATCACACGAAGTACTTAACACATCTTAACCACGCGATTAATAACAAACACATACCAACTCTCAAATTTAGTTCTTCATCAATGATTTTTAATTACGACGAAGGCGCGCTTGAGTATAAACGATGACAGACTAACACAGCCATTCACTAGTAACACAGCCAACCAAGTCGGTCAACAGATACGCGAAAACTAATTCATGACAATACATCCATCGTGACCGCCTGTATCAAAGTGAGAGGGGGTGATGCGATGATGCTCTATTTAATATTGTCACAAGGTAATTTATACGGTGAGGTACTATGGTAGAATCGCCAAACGAAATATAGAAATACAACGGCAAGAATAAAGTATCGTCATCGACCTTGTGGTTGGGTTCTTTACCCCAAAATACACAATATATATAATTGATATATGATCATACACAGTAATGCCAGGGTAGAACTTTGGGATAGAACACGCACACCTGTAACAAACTTGCACGCACTTCAAGAAACACAAGTTTATGTGGTCAACGAAATATTTAATACGGGATAATCTCAAATAATATTTGTAATGTAAATCACAATATTTGAGCATAGATAATTAAAGCAATAATTACATTAATATTTAAATGCAAATAACCATGGTTAATGCCTAAACAACATAATCAGTACACAATCTGTAATTACAAGTAAATAACGTTTTACGCTGTCACTTGTAGACTGTTAACGCCAATCACTGCACTGTAACGACGAACGTAGTAACGTAGAAATAACAACATAACTTCAGAGACTACTTTTGTAGTTGTCCCAGTTCCATGCACAGTGTTCGTTGTATCGCACGACTTAATGTCTCGATGGTGGTTTGACAATCTCCAAAGAATTATTTCCTGATGACGGTTTGACAAATAAGTTGCAGCACGGCTACGGAGACTCGTCGACTTCACCATGTAGAATG